CTTATGAGCCAAGGATAATATTTATTCCAATTCTGCGTATCTAAGGTCCAATTAAAATAAAAACAGGCAATCAAATAGGAAAATGGATAAAAGGCTTGAAAAGGGACTTAATAAAGAAACCTGGGGGCACCTGGATGGCTCAGTGGGTTAAGCCTCTGCCTCCGGCTCAGGTAATGATCTCAGGGTCCTGGGATTGAGCCCTGCATGGGGCTCTCTGCTCAGCGGGGAGCCTGCTTCCTCCCCTCTCTCTCTCTGCCTGCCTCTCTGCCTACTTGTGATCTCTGTCAAATAAATAAATAAAATCTTAAAAAAAAAATAAAGCATTCATACTGGTAAAATTATCTTTAAAAAGCAAAGAAATAAGCCCCAAATACAGGGCAGAGGTTAACTCTGGGGAAGAGAGCACACAGGATCAGGGAAGGGCATATTGGGGCTTTAGCAGTCCTGGCAATGTTTGTTTTCTTAAACTAGGTGGTATTAATTGTATTGTGATTCTTTATACCTTCCACATATTTTATAAAAATTCTTTCATATCAACTCAATATTTTATAAAAACATTTTTTAAAAAAAGCACAAAAGAACAGAAGGCGATGAATAAGAAGCCTGGGAATATACAAAATTAGCATCCAAGGCAAGGAAGAGAGCAGAATTGTTGATTATGTAAATAGGAAGGTTCCTGGATGAAAAATGAGGATATAGATTCTGGGAGAGATTAATTAGATGTGTGGAGGCAGAACTGGGGGAGGGACCACTGCGTGAAAGACTTCAACATGTCTCTTTCAGGTATAGAGATAGAATATAGCAACTTCTTTTTTTAAGATTTTATTTTTAAGTAATCTTTACATCCAACATGGGGCTCAAACTTACAACCCCAAGATCGAGAGACGCATGCTTTACCAACTGAGCCAGCCAGATACCCCAGCATACAGCAACTTCCATAAGAAGTCTATGGAGCTTCTTCTAAGACTGACTCTCAAAAGCCAGCAATTTCAGGACAGATATTAAAATGGATATCTGCGTTTTGGGAAAGGAATACTAGGACCACAGCCCAGAGAAAGGAGAAGACAGAAGGGATGAATGCACAGAAACATCGTTGGGGGAAGAGGATGGAAGATTCATTCTCAATGGAGAAGCAGGGCCAGAGAAGAAAATGGATCACATTAAACAGAACAAATCTCTTAAATCTTAGAGATTTAAGAAAGAGATTATACTAGAATTTTGCTTTAGAAGTTTACAATAATACGTACAGATGAAGAAATTTCTAATAAGGTATTATTGTTTCTATGATAGCCACTGTTAGATGCTTCCCAAAGAGCCATTCTCTCCTTTCTTGGTAACAGATCTCAGTTTGGTTGGGTGTTCGTGGACTCAGCCAAAGGAACCGAATGTGATTAGTCTAAGCCAATGGCTGGTGAATGGTCTAAGGGTGGCAAATGACCCAGTGAGATTTACGGGGAAATCTGCTGGGAAACTTCTGGGAAGGGTTTTTCTCTTTAATAAAAAGGGAGTGCAGGGGCACCTGGGTGGCTCAGTGGGTTGGGCCTCTGCCTTCAGCTCAAGTCATGATCTCGGGGTCCTGGGATCGAGCCCCACATAGGGCTCTCTGCGCAGCGGGGAGCCTGCTCCCCCTCTCCCTCTGCCTGCCTCTCTGCCTACTTGTGATCTCTCTCACTGTCAAATAAATAAATAAAATCTTTTAAAAAAGAAAAAAGAAGGGAATGTGGGATAGGGACAGTGGAGAATGATCTGTTTGCCTCTCGTTCCCTTCCTCTTTGTATTCTGTTGTACAAACACATAATACTTGCAGCTGAGACAGCTATCATGGGATTTCAAGGTAAAAAAACAAAAGGATAAAATCCAATAAGCTGGGGCGCCTGGGTGGCTCAGCTGGTTAAGCATCCAGCTCTTGATTTCGGCTCAGGTCACGATCTCATGGGTCACAAGATCGGCCCTGCATTGGGTTCCACGGTACTCGGGGCGTCTACTTGAGATTCTCTCTCTTCCTCTCCCTTGCCTCTTCCTCCCACCACTTGCTCTCTCTCTAAAATAAATAAAATAAATCTTTAAAAATATCAATAATGGGGCACCTGGGTGGCTCAGTGGGTTAAGCCTCTGCCTTCGGCTCTGGTCATGGTCTCCGGGTCCTGGGATGGAGCTCCACATCAGGCTCTCTGCTCAGCGGGAAGCCTGTTTCCCTCTCTCTCACTCTGCCTGCCTCTCTGCCTACTTGTGAGCTCTGTCTGTCAAATAAATAAATTAACTCTTAAAAAAAAAAAAAATCAATAAGCTAAGATGCCTGAGCTGGCTCCCTTATGACGTCACCAAAAAGTCCGGAAACCATCTACTTCTAGGCTTCTCGTTAAAATATTGCTTGCGGGGGCAACTGGGTGGCTCAAATGATTAAGCATCCAGCTCTTAATCTCAGCTCAGATCTTGATCTCAGGGTTGTGAATTCAGGCCCAGCACTGGGCTCCACACTGGGCATGGAACCTACTAAAAAAAATAATAATAATAAATAAATAAATAAATAAATATATATATATATATATATACAGCTTAAAGGACAAATGACAAATGGACACATAAAGACTCTGGAACCAGAGAGATCTGGGTTGGAGTCTTAGCTCATCTGTTAAAAGCTATGTGACTTTGAACACATTAATTATCCTCTCTGACCTTGTTTTCTCATCTATAAATTAGGGTTGCTATAAGAATTACATGAACTAACAGGTAGCCCTGGCCTACCACCTAAGCAGTCTTCAATAACTGTTAGTTTATCCTTCCTCTCACTTGAAGATAGGATCCATTTTTTAATATCTCAATATCACTCATGGAGGTTAATATAGTCCCTGGGGTATGACAAGTATTCAATAAAAATCTACCGAATGAAAGAAAGAAATAGGGCTTGAGGTGACTTTTGAAGATGAGTAAAATATGATTGGGCAGAGTCAGTGATCCTCTCAGTCAGGACAGGGTGGAAAGAGGCAGAATCCCATCTGGCCGACTCAGAGGATTCTGAGAGTGGAGTGGCAGGAAAGGAGGCAGGCTGGGGCCAGATGAGCGTGGTACAGATGTGGACGAGCCAGCTCTGCAAGGTCTTGGTGCTCGCTCTTCCCCATTTAGGTATCCTCTCTTTATCTAGCTGCTAGTCTGCTCCCTCAAGTCCCTCAAACCCTCCGTCTGCTACCTTTTATGTTTCTTATTCCCAGATGCTTCTCACACCCGAAAAAGCTCTCTGATCCCAATGTCTGTCTGCTCCTCTACCTCCCCTCCTCGCTTCCCCAGCTGCCTCCAGTGGCTCTAAGGACATAACAGAAGACTCATCTCCTTTCAGTCTCTGGAATGGTGAGGAAGGATACTGCTGTTGCTAGGTTACTTAAGCTGCTGGCACAGACTTTAACCACCGACTCTTGGGCTCTAACCATAAGGTAACATGGGCCCCCAGCACTTCTTTATTTTCTCATTTGGATCTTTGCAACAGCCTCCTAACTGGCTTCCCTGCTTCTGAAATGCATGCCGGGGGGCCCCTGATTGGGTCAGTTGGTGGAGCATGCGACTCTTGATCTCGGGCTTGTGAGTTTTAGCCCCACACTGGGTGTACAGATTACTTCTCCCTCTCTCTCTCCCTAACAAATAAATAAAATCTTTTAAATAAATGAATAAATAAATAAAAATAAAATGCATGCCTGTTTTTATCTCTCTTTGATTTAAAATCCATTACCTGATGATGCCTGGCTGGCTCAGGCAGTAGAGCATGCGACTCCTGATCTCGGGGTTGTGAGTTCCAGCCCCACAGTGGGTGTAGATCTTTGGGGCACCAAGGTGGCACAGTATTTTAAGCATCCAACTCTTGGTTTCAGCTAAGGGCATGATCTCAGGTTCTTGAGATCAGGTCCCATATTACATAATAAAGTGGATTTCTAGCTTCTCTCTAAAACCCAGTAGGTGGGGGCACCTGGATGGCTCAGTAAGTTCAATGTATACCTTTGGCTCAGGTCATGATCCAAGGTCCCTGCTCAGTGAGGAGTCTGCTTCTCCCTCTCCCCCTGCTCATGCTCTCTCTCTCTCAAATAAATAAGTGAAATCTCAATTAACTAATTAATTAAATACAAATGGGCAGGTGGGCAAAAATCAGCTGGAACCAAGTTAAGCAGTTAGAGAGTCTATGTTCTCTAGTAATCAGAGTCTTGTCTGGTTCAAAACAGTCCTGATCACTCTTTTTTTTAGGCATTGGAATTTTCTAATCCTAGTCCATTAGAATTGTTTATTACATAGTACAGCATATCTAATCCTTGCTGACCTCTCCAGCTCTAGGTACCCTCACTCGCACTATACACTTTACACTATAGCACTACCTAAACACCAAACTACTTATAATTTCCCCAAATACACCACATTGTTCTCACCTTTTTGCCTTTTTGTCTACACTCTTCCCTTGGTCTAGAAGATCAGTCCCCTCCTAAACTCCAGGCTAAATTCTATTCAATATTTAAAATTCTGCTCATGGGACCCCTGGGTGGCTCAGTGCGTTAAAGCCTCTGCCTTCAGCTCAGGTCATAATCCCAGGGCCTTGGGATCAAGCCCCGCATCGGGCTCTCTGCTCGGCGGGGAGCCTGCTTCCTCCTCTCTCTCTCTGTCTGCCTCTCTGCCTACTCGTGATCTGTCAAATAAATAAATAAAATATTTTTTAAAAAATCTGCTCAGATAGCACCTCCAGGAAACTTTCCAAGGCTCCCTTCCTCCTTCACTTCTCATTTTCTCTGCATCTTGTACATTCTTTAATTGTTGCACTTACAGAATATAATATAATTTATTTGTGTGCCTGTCAGTTTCCAGCACTGGAGTGAAACCTTTAAAAACAGAAATCTCTATCATTTACACTGTCTGCCACATAACAGGCGCACAACACATTTGATGAATGAGTAGTTGAGAAAATGAGATGAATAACATATGACCAGGGCTGATGGGGTTAGGGAGTGGTGGGGCTCCCAGTAACTCACATAGATTTCCATTTTTCGGTAGAGACCATAGTTAAGTAGCAAATTGTGAGTCATACGGATTCGGTGAGGCTTCATTGGATGGCCTTGTCCGTAATAGTAGTTTCCAACATCTCCTGAAGAAGAAAGAGCAGCAGTTTCAGTGACACAATTAAACACACACTCCCAGGAGAATCCAGGAATTTTTATAACCATCTCCTAGTCAAATTCTTTCTCTTTCGTTCTAGTTTCCAAGATTCTCACCCACTTCAAGGAAGAGTAACTCCAAAACAAAAAACACAAAACAAAACAGAAATAAACAGGGGCGCCTGCATGACTCAGATGGTTAACCGTCTGCCTTCGGCTCAGAGTTCTGGGATGGAGCCCCGCGTCAGGGTTCTGGGATGGAGCCCCACGTCAGGGGTTCCGGGATCGAGCCCCACATCAGGCTCCCAGCTCAGTGGGGAGTCTGCTTCTTCCTCTCCCTCTGCCTCTTCCCCGGCTCATGTTCTCTCTCTCTGTACCTGTCTCAAATCAATAAATAAAATCTTTTTTTTTAAAGATTTTATTTATTTATTTGACAGATAGAGATCACAAGTAGGCAGAGAGGCCGGCAGAGAGAGACAGAGAGGAGGAAGCAGGCTCCCTGCTGAGCAGAGAGCCCGATGCGGGGCTCAATCCCAGGACCCCGAGATCATGACCCAAGCCAAAGTCAGAGGCTTTAACCCACTGAGCCACCCAGGTACCCCATGAATAAATAAAATCTTAAAAAAAAAAAAAAGAAACAAAGCAGGGGACCCTGGGGAGGCCAGCACTTAGTACCCATAGGCACTAGATAGTGTGAAGGGTTCATTCCAAAGCTACAGGAGAATAGCAGCAGTGAGGTGACTCACCTCACTGTATCTCCAAAGGAGTCACTCCCACAACAGAAGAATAACCATTACTATTCAAAATCACTATAAGTCAGAGTTCACCTCTTTCACTTTATAACATTTTATGGAGTTAAAGCACATTTACATTCATTTTCTTACTAGATCCTCACAATAACCTGGTAAAACAGGACAGGAGCATTATTCCCATTTTATAGATAAGAAAACTAAACTCTTGGGGTACTGGGTGGTTCAGGTCATGATCCCAGGGTCCTGGGATCCAGCCCTGCATCAAGCACCCTGTTCAGTGGGAAGCCTGCTTCTCTCTCTCCTATTCCCTCTGCTTGTGTTCCCTCTCTCTCTGTCTCAAATAAATAAAT